GTTCAAACCCACCAGCCACTCCTCGGAAGGAAGGTTGGGCAATCTACTTCCGTAGTGATACCACCTGGGCAACCCAAGGAGGGGTCGCTGTGAGTCGGTGTGACGGCACATCACAACAACCACCACTGCTGCATCCGTTTGTCGAAACATTTTAATGGGTCTTCCATCAATTCCCGGAGCCTTGTTTTTTGCCAGTTCCCTCAGTGCAGCTTCGACTTATTCCTTCAGTACCATTGGTTCTTAATCGATCTATGTCGCCTCCTGCAATGGATGAACATCGACCAGTTCTCTTTGGTGCAGTGACTCTGTGTATTCCCTCCATCTTCTTTTGATGCTTCCTACATCATCCAACATTTTGCTCAAAGAATCCTTCAGTATTGCAACTCGAGGCTTAAATGTTTTCCTCAGTTCTTTCAGCTTGAGAAATGCCGAGCGTGTTCTTCCCTTTTGGTTTTCAAACCCCAGGTCTTTGCACGTTTCATTACCGTACCTTGTATCTTGTCTTCCTTAGCCACCCTTTGAAATTTTCTGTTCCGCTCTTCAATTTTATCATTTCCCTCATTTGCTTTAGCTGCACTCTTTTCGAGAGCCAGTGTGAGAGTCTCTTCTGACTCCGTTTCGGTCTTTGCTTCCTTTCCTATCTTTTTAATGACCTTTCACTTTCTTCATGGATAATGTTCTTGATATCTTCCCACAATTCATCTGGCCTTCAGTCATTGCTGTTCAGTGTGTCAAATCTATTCTTTAGATGGTCTCTACATTCAGGTCATATTTTGGCTCTTATGGACTTGGTTTAATTTTCTTCTGCTTCAACTTGAACTTGCACATGAGCAGTTGATGGCCTGTTCCACTCAGCTGCTGGCCTTCTTTAGGTGAAGATACTGACTTTCTCTATCGCCTCTTTCCATAGATGCAGTTGATCTGATCCCTCTGTATCCACCCAGCAGGGTCCAGATGTATAGTCACTGTTTATGTTGTTAAAAATCCGTTGCTGGTCTTGCAACATTCTACTGTGTGATGTCCAGCTGTTTCATCTTATTTTGAGTCATGCCACTTCAGCAAACAAAGGCCCAGAAAGCTTTACTCCCCGTGTCCTGAGGGTCCACTTCACTTTGAGGAGGCAGTTGTTCCCCAGTGGTATTCTGCGTGTCTTCCAGCCTGAGGGGCTCGTCTTCCAGCACTGTATCAGACAGTGTTTCACTGCTGTCCATAAGGTCTCCAGTGGCCAGTTTTTCAGGAGTGGAAGGCCTCATCTTGGTCTGGAAGCTCTGCTGAAACCTGTCCACCACGGGTGACCCTTCTCATGTTTGAAATACTGGTGACCAAGCTTCCAGCATCACACAGGGCGACACACAGTGGCAGAGATTCGCATACCTACCGAACTCACTGTCATCAGTCAATTCTGACTCACAACGACCCCCATTGGGTGTCCAAGGCTGTAAATCTCTATGGAAGTAGATTGCCTCACCCTCCTCCCATGGAGCAGTGGGGGTGGGTTTGAACGGCTGACCTGGTCAGCAGCCAAATGCCTTACCCACTGCACCACCCGGGAATTTGCACATAAACCCTGAAATTCTGCTTACTCATTGATGGCAGGCAGACATGGAACCTCCCAGGTGTAACCTCCGACCCTCAATACAGCCAGCCTCCACCCGTGGCCAAGCCTTCTTCCTGAGGCCACTCATAAAAGGCAAACACCTGACCACTGGATTACCGTGGGCTGTTCACTGTCATTCCTGTTTCCAGAACGTGCTGGAGTCTGACTTGCATATATGGCCGTGACTACCTCCTCATAAACTAAACGGGTTTAGGCATGTCGAATCCGAGTGTTTCTCTACTCATTTCTAAGGTTAAAATCCCACAAAGCATTCATCATTTGTGTAAGTATTTGTAGCAAATACGCAGACCCCAGGGTAGAGTTTCCAGATAAAATACAGGTTGACAAGTTAAATTGGATTTCACAAATTGTTGTTGTTGTTGTTTTAAAATAACTAAGCCCAAATATTGAGGAGCCCTGGTAGCATAGTGGCTAAAGCACTTGACTGCTAACCAAAAGGCTGGCGGTTCAAACCCACCAGCCACTCCTCGGAAGGAAGGTTGGGTAATCCTACTTCCGTAGTGATACTGCCTCGGAAACCCAAGGAGGGGTCGCTATGAGTCGGGGCCAACTCGACGGCACATAACAACAACAACAACAACGAGCCCAAATATTGCACGGGATACTTACTCTAAAACATTATTCATTCTCTAGCTGCAATTTAACTTCAACTGCTATCCTGTATGTTTATTTGCTACTTCAGCAGCCACTCATAGAGTCGGAAATCAATCAATGGGTTTGGTGTTTTGACTCCAGCAGCTAAGGAGTTCTGGTGGTGTAGTGGTTAGTTATATATTTGGCTGCTAACCAAAAGGTCGGTGGTGGGAACCCACTAACCCTGCGCGGAAGAAAGATGAGGCAATCTATTTCCGTTAAAATTGCAGCCTTGGAAACCCAGTGGGGGTTACTATGACTCAGAATGGCAACAAATCTGTCAGCCTCACCCAGGTCATATCCGGCCTGCCCAGAGGTGGTACCCTACGGCCTGAGTAGTTTTGGAAGGAATCAGTGAAGGAAGGACGGATGAACTGCGCATTGAAATCCTTCCAGAAGCCGGGAAGAGAAACTAACCCGGCCCTCCGCCGCCCCGCCCCCGTTTCCTAGCAACGCCGGGACCCGGAGGCTGGAGGGCGAGGCTCGCTGGCGTCACGTGCCTCGTGCCAACGCCCCGGCGTCCGTAGCGCGAACCCTTCTGGGTCACCGGGGGGCCTACGTGCGTCCGCACGCGTGCGCAGGCGGGCGGCTTAGATGCCCTGCGTGCGCGCGGCCACCTCGGACGCTACACTGCGTGCGCGCGCACGCCGGCCTCTACCGGTTTTTATTGCGGCCGCGGGCGGCGGCATCGGCCACGGTTGGCTGTGGCGGGTTCGGAGAACAGACGAGGCGACATGGCGGCCGCGCTACTAGTGGTACTGGTGACCGCGCTCCTGGGCGTCGAGGGCGCTTCCGGGACTGGTGAGGACGGGGTCGGGGTCGCGGCGCCCGGAGGGTGCCGGAATGGAGGCTGCGGGCGCGGGGACGCCGAGGACGGGCCGGGGGCGTGCGGATCCGGGGAGGCCTCAAGGCCCGACCGGGTCGGAGGTGGGAATAAAGCCCGCAGTTCCTGGGGCCCCTGGAACGGCCTGACTGCTGGAAGAGGGCTTTTGGGGTTGGGGTCTCCAGGTGGCCCCCGCCCCTCTTTTCAGGAGAAGGGCCTTGGGCTGGGTCCTAGAGCCTCTGACCCCTTTGGCTCGGAGCCGAGGGGCCGAAGGCTGGGCCTGCCCGCCCGGCTGCTCTTCCGAGGATTGTCTTCCTGCAAAGGGCCTGTAGGACTTGGGAGTGACCTGAAGGTAGACCCGGTTCTGTCCTCAGGCCGGGGCCTGTGTGAGGGCAAGGCAGGAAGCCGGGCGGCCCGGATCCCCCGAGCTCGGGTCCGTGGGTCCCCGTGAGAGCAGGGCAGCTGGGGCCTTCTCGTCGGGGAAGCGGGCTGCTGTTGTCGTCAGGTGGACCCGGATCCGAGGGCACGTGAAGTGGCCGGGAAGCGTGTCAGCCCCCTGGGCGGGGGATTATCATTCTTAACAGGATTTGGGGCGCAGTCCTGCTTGGGGCCAGCGCCTGCCCCTGTGCTGTGGGGGGGCCGGTCTGCACCGCCCTCCGGGGCCTCGTCTGACCTCCGCTTCGGAAGGAGACAGGCTGCGGTCCACACCTGCTCTTACAAGTGGGGAAACGGAGGCCCAGGAGCTGGCATATGGCCCAAGGTCACAGCGAGGTAGCCTTGGCCCCCAGTTCAGGGCAGTAAATGTTGAGGATGCTTTTGCAAAGGCTTGGTGGCATTTGATTTCCAGCGTGGTTTGCGGAAGTGGGCATCGTGTTGGGGGCAGCACGGTGGGCAGCTGGGGTTGCGGGCATGCGGGACAGCCTCTCTGTCCCTGATGGAGATGCTCCTTCCTCATTCGGGGCTGCTCTTGGGTTCTGGGTTAAAGATTGACTACCCGCACGTAGGGGACAAAGTGCACACCCGCTGGCCATGGTGGGCCCTGGGGATTGGTGGGGCATCATCCTGGCAGATCCCTTTCAGGACTCAGCCTGCTCCTCCTCCTTCTAATCCCGCGGGCAGTGACTGAGTGCCGGCCAGGGCTGCCCGGAGGATGCAGATGGCTGCTGCTGGCACCGAAGTCTTCAGAAGGCGCCTAGTGCTGGGGCACAGCCCTGTCCAGTTTCGGGCTCCACGCGTGTCCCACCTCAAGCTAATTCTGTGAGCGCTTTGCCGCTCTCCCCCGGCTGCGCTGGAGCGGGGCGAGAGCTGCCAGGCGGACGGGATTCCTTTTTCTTTGCCGGGCTTCCAGCTCCCAGCTCCCAACCCCCAGCCCTGCCCTTCCCAGGAGCTGAGGAAATGTGGGGGCCAGGGACTGCTGATAGCAAAGGTGGGGTGCCCTGCTGCCTGCTCCTCCCAGATGGGGCAGCTCCTCTGCAGGCTGGGACGCCTTGTTTACCTCAAGGCCCCTGGCTGGCCCTGATCCCAGAGGGAGGCAGGACAGGGTGGCTGTTTTTAGCCGAAGGTGACTTGACCTGAGAAAGTGGCTGTTGGTCACATGGCCAGAGTCAGCTTGGCCTTCTGAAGGCAGAGGGTGGGGGGGGCTTGGGGCCAATCCTAGCTCTGCTACAGGCAGGGGCCAGGACCCCTCTTTGATGCTTTTCTTCATCCTTACCCCCAAAGGGCTTTGACATGTCTGACTACTCTTACACAGCATGAAATGTAACTTACAGGTGTGACCTTCACTTTGTGGGGGTGGCCTTGACATTCAGGATCTCTGCCCTCCTGAGTCGGCTCCTCGTGCCCCTTTGAGAGCAGCACCTTGTCCACAGTGCAGCCCCGGGCCTCTGGGATGAGCAGCAGGTGGCTCAGGTCTGGCCCATCAGGGAGGACACGTGGGTCCTGGTGGACACCATCCCTGTGCTGACAGAGGGGCGGGCACGTGGGGTGGTCTGGGAAAGGTCGCCGGCCTCCAGGCTGGCAGCTCCTGACCTCTTTTCAAGTGCCCTGGGCTGTGAGGACAGATCACCAAAGATAGGAACACCGTGGGTTCGCCTTGGGCTTCGCTTCCTGCCTGGTTGTGCCTGTGCGTCAGTGCCCGTGTTGATGTTACAGTCAAGGGAGGACTTCTTTCCAAGATGCTCAGGAGACCGGAGACTGCCCTTCACAGGGTGGTGGCCACACCTGTCTCTGGCCATCTCCTAGGCCTTGGCGGGGGGCTGCTGGGCTCTTCCCACTGCAGCCTGGAAACGGGCTGTGTGCACATGCACACGTGTGTACGTGTGTGTTCATGTTTAACACTGCCCCTCAGCGCCTTTGGGGAATGTGTGATACCGTCACAGCAGGGGGACTGTGAGGAGGAAGATGTGCAGGCAGCCGTGTCGGGGAGCTGGCTGCCTGTCCACGGCCAGTGCCCTCCTGGGTGGGGCCAGTCCATGATGACCTGCGGGGGCGGGAGAGCCCACGGGGTGCACTAGAAAGCAGCCCGGCTGTGATATCTCGGGCAAAAACACTTCCTGTCCTGGGTCTCAGGGTGCGGAGGTTAACGGCAGCCCGCTTCTCCACCGAGACGGAGCTGTTGTACCCATCCATAGTACTTTTCTTGTCTTCTGTTTGGTCAAGATACGTTTTTCCTGTTTCTCCTGCAGGGGTGGGCGTGAGCCAGGGTGCCACCTGGTGGCGAGTTGGGCTGGGGCCGCGGCTGGAGATGGGCGGAGACAAGTGCATGCATGTGGGCCCCCCCAGCCCTGCTGGTGGGAGTCATGTGGTTTGGGGGGGTCATGGTCCCTTGGGGTTGCCCTGTCCTGGGGGGACTCTCTGGGCCTGATTCCTGGAGCTGCCTGACCTCATGCTCCTGGGTGGCCACTGCACTAAGAAGTCAGACCTGGCCCTTGGCCCTGGTTCCCGACTGGGACTCCTGGCGTCAGGCCACCCAGCGCACCCAGCAGACTGACTCGGAAACCACTCAGCTTTGCATCTTCTTCTCATCCCGCCCTCCCATGCGAATACTGGTGGCCACCCTGCCACGCAGCTGGCTTTGTGCAGGCACCACTGTCCCAGGAGCGTGGGCTGGGGGACCACGTGGAGCTGCACTGTGAGGCTGTGGGCAGCCCTGTCCCCGAGATCCAGTGGTGGTTTGAGGGGGCTGCACCTGACACACCCTGCACCCAGCTCTGGGATGGCGCCCGGAAGGACCGCGTCAGCATCCATGCCACCTACCAGCAGCACGCGGCCAGCACCCTGTCCATTGCTGGCCTCACCATGGACGACGCTGGCACCTATGAGTGCCGGGCCAGCAACGACCCTGACCGCAACCACCTGACCCGGGCACCCCGCATCCGCTGGGTCCGCACCCAGGCCAGCGTGTTGGTTCACGAACGTGAGTGGTGACGTGAAGACCTCATCCCATCCTGGCCACGCAGCCCTTCTTTCCAAGTCCCTCTGTGTTCCTTGGCCTGTCGACTCCATCCCTTCCTCGGCTGCGTACCCTCAGCTCTCTGTCCTGTCCGTTCCTTCCCTCGCCGCACCCTGTGGAGTGGTGGGTCCCAGTGTGTGTGATCCTGGAGCGGAGTTGACCCTTCACACCCTGAGTTTGAGGACACCCGCCGCCCAGCTCAGGCTCGGCTCTGCAGCCCTCCAGAACCTGCAGCGTGCTCTTCAGCTTGTGGTTCTGAATTAGTTCCCAATCTCGATTCCTGAAGAGAACCTCCTAGAGCAGCAGGAGGCTTGCTGGGGTTGGAAGAGCACCACTGCCCATCTGGGCCTTGGGGTGGGCCAGGAGATGGACAGGCACCCTTGGTGCCCTGGCAGGCGGGTGCTGGGCGTGAATTCCCTGGGGGCCTCTGAGGTGGTAGGTCCTCTGATACCCTCGTCTCTGCACCAGGCTTGTGGCCCGTTTCGGTGGGGCAGTGGGTCCAAGACTCCTCCTGAGAGGCACGGCGATGGCGCAGGGCGTGTGGGGCCGCATTGGTTAGGGTCTCTGAGCGAGGGGGGAGGTGCTTCTCCTAGCCCTCGCGGTCCCCTCGTGCTCAGGGTCACCCGAGCTCTGTGCCGACAGTCTCGTATGCTGCTTCACAGGGGGTGGGGTTTCCATCTCTGTGGATGATGTGGGCCCCAAGACGCGCCTGACCTGTGCCCTGAACCACAGTGCCACGGCCATTGAAGGCCACCGCTGGCTGCGGGGGGACAAGGTGCTCAAGGAGGACGCGCTGCCCAACCTGAGGACAGAGTTTGAGTGAGTCCCTGCCCATGCTTGGCCAGTTGGCAGATTTGAGAGACAGGCTGTGCTCACAGCACAGGGCATGTGTGCCGTGGTGATGGGGACGAGTGGCCCAGCACGGTCCCGCAGGAGCATGACAGGGTCCCAGTGGACGGAGGGGACGTCCCGTGACAGAGCGGGCGGGGCCTTCCCTGATGGGGCGGGCTCGGGTGGCGTGGGGGCCCCTGCTCACAGTGCCTGCCTGCAGGGTGGACTCGGACGACAGCGCAGGCGAGTACTCCTGCGTTTTCCTTCCCGAGCACGCCGGCAGGGCTAGTGTCTCGCTGAAGGGTGAGTTCTCTGAGGGGCGTGAGGGGGCACACGGCTGGGGCCTGCCTGTCGCCTGTGCGCAGGGCGACACTCAGGCCCCCTCCTGACCCCTCAGGCCCTCCAAGGGTCTCAGCCGTGAGGAAATCGGAGCACGCCAATGAGGGTGAGAGCGTCGTGCTGAAGTGCAGGTCCGATTCCTTTCCACCCGTCACGGACTGGGCCTGGCTCAGGAGTGCTGGTGCTGACAAGCAGGTGGGGGCCGCGCTGCCCCTCCTCCCCTCCAGGCCCCTGACTCCTGAGCGCCCCCAGCACGGCCCCTCGACACCCGGGAGCCCCCTACTCCCCGGGCCCCGGGCCGTGGTCCCCCCTCACTCCCAGGTCCCTCCAGGTCATCGTGAACGGCTCCCAGAGCAGGTTCTTCGTGAGCTCCTCAGAGACGCGGTCGGAGCTGCACATCCAGAACCTGGACATGAACGCCGACCCCGGCACGTACGTGTGCAACGGCACCAACTCGGAGGGCACCAGCCAGGCTGCTGTGACGCTGCGCGTGCGGAGCCGTCTGGCTGCCCTCTGGCCCTTCCTGGGCATCGTGGCCGAGGTCCTCGTTCTGGTCACCATCATCTTCATCTACGAGAAGCGGCGGAAGCCCGAGGAGGTCCTGGACGGTGAGTCCCGGGTGTGGTGGGCACATTGCCCCTCACACACACACTCCGGCGCTTCCTGTACTGGTTGCCAGCCGGCACCCGTGATAAGTGGCTGCACCGGCCGTGGATGACACAGGAGCTGGGGAGGCGAGACCGGCTCGGCGCAGCAGGCCACTTCATCTGTGTCCGTGTCCCTGTGCGTCCTCGTGCCCCTGTCGTTGAGGGGTGCTCTGCAGCCCCCGTTCCTGGCGGGGAGGCAGGCCGGCGTCTCTGCCGTGCACCGGGGCTCTGCTCATATTGTCCTCTCCTGTTTTCCATGTCTGCCATCACCGCTGCTGCGTCCCCACAGATGAAGACATGGGCTCAGCCCCACTGTGAGTTCCGGCCTCACCCAGGGCAGGAGTCAGGTTGTGGGGGGCTGCCATGTCCCAGGGTCCATCTGTCCTCCTCCCCCGGCGCCTAACATGGAGCCAAGACCCAGGTGACCCTCAGTCTTCCACGCACTGAGCCCTGTTCAGAAGCTATCACTGCACACACTGTGCTCCATCCTGCGGGTCCCTGGGCCACTGACTGGATCTTGCTGGGGGTCTATTGGGGGGCTTCAGGGGCCCGCTTGCTGACAGCCCCCACCCCCCAGGAAGAGCAGCGGGCATCATGTGAACGACAAGGACAAGAACATCCGCCAGAGGAACGCCAACTGAGCTCAGGTGGGCGTGGCGCTGGGCCCCACCCACCCAGGGACTGGCTGAGGCTGCTGCCCCCGTGGCCTGTGGCCGGTGGCCTGTGGAGACAGGGCCTGCCTGGGCTCTAAGCCACCCTCCCCTCCAGGTGGCCTCTGACGAGGAAGAGGGCGCGCCCGTCCTGCTGTGGCCTCTCCAGACTCAGTTCAGTGTTCGCAAGAGTCCCCACTCCTTACCTCTAAAGAAAACCCCCGGGCGAGTGCCTGACGCCCCTGTATTCAAGCTAAACTAGGGTTTTCTACATACAGGATTCCACTCAGTCCTACTCCGTCGGGAGTGTTTCTCCTTTTCTTTCCCTTTCTCGCGAAGCCCAGGAAGTGGGTGAGCTTGGGGGTCCACATGAGGGTGGTGGAGGGCAGCCGTGGCGGCCCCTCGCCAGTGCCGAGCCCCACCTGCCTGAAGCCCCGCCTCAGGCTGCGAGTCCCGCCTGTCTAAAGCCCATGCTGTCTGGTCCCGTGTGCACACTCTTACTTTATTAAAGGCCTTGGTCTGTGGTCTGACCTGGAGTCTCCATGGGCAGGGGATGGGTTGGCGGGGCCTTGGTCCCCTCACCCTCCCAGGGGAGCCCCCAGGTCCCTGATGTACCAACCTCCAGTCCCGCCATCTGTGCACATCCCCTCTCACCAGGTCTGTCTGGGCGAGCAGTGGGGAGCTGCAAGGCCAGGCCCTTTGACCTCAACAGCAGCAAAGGGTGTTCCCCCATCCCCATTCACCAGTAAAGACTGACTCCGCCTCACCTTTTGGCTCCTGTTTGTACCTGGGCAGTGGGATGCTTGTCAGAGACATGGGTGGCGTTGATCCTGTGTCCCTGGGACAGCTGGTAGCCGCTACCCATGGTGCCCACCACTTGTAGGCCAGTGTACCAGGGCTGCCCAGCCATTTTCCACAGTGTCTTTCCACCCCACCAGCCACCTGCTTGCCCAGAGCCCCTGGGAGAGGAATGACACCCCACTTTACTGGAAAGAGCTCCAGCCCAACCCACAAACTACCCAAAATGCCAGCACCAGGTCTTTCCCCCTGCCACCACCAGGAGGAGCTATGCTCAAGCAGCCAAGTGAGCCGAGTCTAGGTGGCACTGCTGGTCACACCTGGGCAAAGCCGGCCACCTCCGTGAGCCCTAGGATTCCAGGGCTGCCGAGCGACAGCCACCCCACTGAGGCATTTAGCCAGTGGCCCATGGGATGCATCAGTGTTTGCTGCTTAGGCAACACGAATCGGACACCTGTGGTGTACCTGGTGCCAGGAGACTTGGGAACTGGCAGAAGGGCCTAAGGTGGACGTCAAGCAGTGAGGGCAGCAGGGCGAGGGCCTGTGAAGGGCCGCAAGGCAACACCCTCCCTGTCACATGGCCCAGGCACCCCAGAGCTTAGGGGCGCCCGGGAAGTGCCACCCACGCCGCATCCTCCAGACAGATGAGATGTGGGGTTCCAGACGTTGGCAGGTTCTTCGGAAGGACCCTCCAGGGGAAGGGGTGCTCGGGGAGTTCCCTCCCAGCCCTTCCTGCACCGTGAACCCAAACCTGGGGAACGGAAGCAGGGCCTGGGCGGCTTCGGCTCGGAGCGCTGGGCCGAGTGCGCAGCGTTCACTTCCTCA